TCTAGTCCCACCCTAGGCATGAAAGCCAACTGGATGACTTTGGGCCAGTCCCTCTCTGAGTCCAACCCACTTCTTAGGGTTGTTGTTGTGAGAGAAGGAGGAAGTAATTAGGCATGTTGGCCCCCTTGAGTTACAAATAAATAAAATAAAATAAATAAAACAAAACAAAATAAGTAAAATAATAAAATAAATGCATAAATACATTTCTCCCCCTCTCTTGCTAGCAAGCTAGTCATAGATATCTTGAATGTAGACTGCATGTACCATCCAGTTGATGGTATGTGAGAAGATTATGTTGGCTTGCAATGTAACTTCCAGATTAATGACCCTGACTGGATTGACGATGTGAAAAAAAAAATGACCCGTGCTCTCATGAGTGAGGAAGGCAACGAAGTCTATTTCTTTCTCTTGATAAAAAGAGAGCCAGTTTGTGTTAGTGGTAGAAACTAGGAAATCTAGTTCCTCCCCGCTTAGGGTTGTTCTCACCCTTAGTGGTGGGACCACGAAGAAAAATGCAGGGAGTTGCCCAGATGGTCACCGGAACTCAACGCTGGCTTGAAAGCAGGTGCACACACACACACCCCAATAACAAAAACCACCTCTATTTCCTTCTCTAAAAACCTCCATTTCCTTCTCTAAAAATGCATTCTGTGGAAGTCTTGAACTCTTGATTAAAAGTCATAAAAAGTGAAACAGACCAGTATTTTGAGGGTCATCTAGTGATGATCAAAACAGAATTGGAAGGGACCATGGAAGTCTTCTAGTCTAGTTTAGTCTCTTTTAAAAAGCTCCCAGTCATGAAGCACCCACAACTTCTGGTTAATTGTTCTCACTGTTAGGAAATTTCTCCTTAGTGCTAGATTGGGTCTCTCTTTGATTAGTTTCCATCCATTGTTTCTTGTCTCCTCTTCTGGTGCTTTGGAAAATAGCTTGACCCCTTCCTCCTCTCTGTGGCAGCCCCTCAAATATTGGAAGACTGCTATCATGTCACCCCTAGTTCCTTCTTTTCACCAGACTAGACGTACCCAATTCCTGCAACCGTTTTTCACATATTTTAGTCTCCAGTCCCCTAATCATCTTTGTTGCTTTTCTCAGCGCTCTTTTGAGAGTCTCAACATCTTTTTAATAGTGTGATGACCAAAACTAGATGCAGTATTCTAAGTGTGCTTACTAAGGCTTTATAAAGCAGTATTAATATTAATAACAGGCATAGGGAATTACGCATCACTGTACAGGAAAGGTTGTAGCTTGGCATGTACCAAGGAGTAAATGATTAAGGGCGCCTAAATTTGTAGATTACATGCGTAAATATGTACGTTGTATATTTGTGAAACTAAGGCAAAATACGTAGAAGAAAGAAGTGAAAAGAATGAGGTAATAAGGAATGGTAGTGCTGTAGCTCACTTAATTAGATTTCCCTTTTTTTGTTTAATTATCTTAAATTAAAAATTAAAAATTTAAGATAATTTTAATAAAAATTTTAATAAAATTAAATTAAAATTTAAAATTTTAATTTATTAAATTTATTAAATTTTAATAAAAATTTATTTTAAATTTTTTGTTTAATTATCTTATCTTTCCCACTGTTTCCTTCCTTTTTTTTCTGTGCCTCGTATAATGTAAATTACCCTGATAGCAGTGATTGATATTTGAGCAAAACAGAGGGAGACTTATTAAAAAGTTTGTTATTTTCTGGACCAGAACCAGAACATTGTATTATGTACAACGTTATTATAATGATGTGAGTATGATTAATGTAATTAAGGCTACCAAATTGTTAATCTCATCACTATTATTTGGTATCAAAATTAATGATACCCAGATGCCACACTGTTCATGAATTTAATACTTATATATACTTACAAATAAAAAAACTTAATAAAAAGTTTTCTAACTTTTTCAGAACATGAACTGTTTGCCATCTAAGGATGCTAAGAATCTGTTCCATTTTTCTCTCTCTTCCTTTTAGCCATATACAAAGATATACTGGTTTTGTTAGATGCGCTAACCCAGCAAAAATCATTCTAATGCACTAAGCTGTCTTTAATCAGTGGACAGACCTTATGTACATGTCCCAAAGAGTAATTAAATTAATGCCAGCTTGCCTCTAAGAAGTTATAGAAGGAAGAAACCAAGTTTGCTATTTTTAGACTGACCTGCTAGAAATATAGCTGTTTGAGATCTCGAATGGCTTTGGAAAGGCTCCATGGATTCTTAGTCCTCCAGGTAAAGTCAGCAGAACAAGGTGTAGGATCTTCTGAGGTCTTTCTGGCTTAGCACCCTTGGTGTTGATGTGATAAAGAACCTGGCCCCTTCTGCTTTTTTCAACAAAGGACGGGAAGGAAGGAAGAATTGTTACCCAAGGGGTGTGGGAGATCACAAGAACTTCCTCTCACTTTTGGGTTGTTTTCAGCAGTTACCCCACCTAAAATGACTAAGGCAGAATCTTAACATGTCTGCCACCTCACTCCAGCTCACGAGGAAGGAGATCACTGGAAATCGACCAGCAATCACCTTGTATGTCTCAGAGATTCCCCCCCACCCCACCCAAACAGTTTTTGGATTCACGTAGATGTGGTTTGACCGTTGCATATGTCAGCTTGGAATTGCTTCGTTCCCCTTGCAGGGAAGGATAACCTGTTGCGTAGTTTGCACTGGGAAGGGTGGGGACACATGGTTTATGGGCCAAAGTAGACCTCTGAAGTTTTGCAAGCGCAGAGTTTCTGCAAAGAAAAAATAATTTTTTTTTTCCTGCCATGCAGCCCTTTTCTAGGTATTTTGTCGCAAGCAGAAGAGTGGAGGACTCTTCTCGCGACAGACTTCTGGACTCGCTCAATTGTATTAATGTCTGATACACAGTGCGGATTCCAGACATATGGGCTGTATTCGAGTATTGGTCTAGCAAAGGTTTTGTATGCCCTAGTTAGCAATTCAGTGTTACTGAAGGAGGAGCTTTGTAAGATTAGATTTACAACTCTTAATGCCTTTTTGGCAATGCTGTTGCAGTGAGTTCTGGCGCTTATGTCGTTTGATATGAGTACTCCCAACGAAGTCTTATCCGCCTAGGTTATATTTGGTGTACTGATGTTTCTTTTTTTACCAGTGTGTAGGACAGAGCATTTGTTGGTCAAGATTTGAAGATGGTTTGGTGGTGCTGATATTACCGCTTTAGACCGCAGTGGTGAGGTCACACTGGGATCCATTCTTGTCACAAAAAAGCCCCAGAAACAGTTCAGGGAAGAACTAGAAATAAGGTAAGGGATCTGGAGGCCATACTGTATGATGAACAGTTGAGGGAAACAAGCAGGCCTACTCTAGTCAAATGAAGAGAAGGATTAGAGGTGACATGATGGCAGTTGTCTAATACTTGAGAGGCTGCCACAGAGAAGAAGGATTTGAGATCTTCTGCAAGCCACCTGACAAGAAGTAACAGGTGGAAGATCATTAAAGGGAGATCCAACCTAGAACTAAGGAGGAATTTCCTGATAGCAAGGACAATTAACCAGTGGAACAGCTTACTTCCAAAAGTCGTGAGTGCTCCATCACTGGTGGTCTTTAGAGATTCTAATATAATTTGGGATGAACACCCTTTGCATGGCGTGGGAGTAGGAATGGATTTCCTGAGGAAAAAATGGCAGACTACAGGAACCAGGAGCACCACCTAGGTAACCTTGAGGACACAGGTAAACCTCCAAGTACTTCAACGACCCTCTAAAAGGATGCAAATGACTTGTGGACTTCAACTCCCAGAATTCCCCAGCCAGCTGGCTGGGGAATTCTGGGAGTTGAAGTCCACCCGTCTTCAACTTGCCAAGGTTGAGAAATACTACCATAGTAAAATGCAACCCAGTTTTCTCACCTCCTCTTCGCCCCCTGACCAGTTGCACAATTGCAAACCTGAGGTCCGTGTGGCAATAAATAGCTACAAGCTTTGTGGAGAAGATTGAGCAAGGCGTTTTCTGTTAGCGAGTTCGTTTCCCCATCCATCGTCCCCCTCATCTCGACCACAGGCCCAATGAACGCCTTGGAAATACCAATAGAAACACTGGAAAGATGAGAGAAATAAGTTGTGCCGTCTTCTCTACCTCGGCCGATGGTTCCCCATCTGGCGGCCATGTTAGAATGTGTCCTCCTCGGTGGGATTTTGTGTTTAACGGGCTCTTCACAGGGGCCACCTTTAGATTGTCAGGCATTTTGCAACCTGGAAAACGATGAGTCATGTAGGCCCAAAACACGGTTTCCGGACAACATTTCTTAACTGTTAAAACGGGGAAACGGTCCATCTGTAGACACTGAGTTTGTCCATTCATTTCCTTCAAGATGAACTAGCTTCAATTAGTAGCGGTTATTAGGATGAAGGTGATGGTCTCAACACAACTGCAGTCCTCGACTTGCAACTATCCATTTAGTGACTGTTCAAAGCTACAATGGCACTGGGGGAAAAAAAAGTGACTTACAACCATTTTTCACAAGACTGTGAAAAATGTGCACCTGAATTTTTCAAAAAAAATTCACATGAATTTTTCAAACAAAAATTCACATGAATTTTTCAAACAAAAATTCACATGAATTTTTCAAACATTTGTTGCATGAATTTTTCAAAAAAAATTTTGCATGAATTTTTCAAAACTTTTTCACATGAATTTTTCAAAAAAATGTCCACAATGTTTTCAATTTCCACACCAATTTCAGTATCCTTACAGTCATGTGATCAAAATCCAGATGCTTGTCAACTGACTCACATGTATGATGGCTACCATGTCCCGTGGGGGGGGGGGAGGTGTCAGGTGATCCCGTTTAGCGACCTTCTGACAATCGAAATCATTGCGGAAGCCAGATTCACTTAACAACCATGTTACTAACTTAACAGCTGCAGTGATTCACTTAACGGCTGTGGCAAGAAAAGCCGTAAAATGAGACAAACCTCACTTGACTATGCTGCCTTTGCTTCGCAATAGAAATTTCAGGCTCAATTGTGGTCGTAAGTCGAGGACGACTTCCACAAGGCTCCCACATTTTTTTTTAACTGGACTTCAGAACTGTTTGTTTCGTTTCCAGATCGCAAGCAATTCATCTGAGTGGACTCTATGGGGGGTCCTCCAAGGCTGTAGGGCCACAATTGAGCCCAACATGTAGGTTGCTAAGAGAGAAATTTGTTCTGCTCCATTTTATGACTTTTCTTGCCACATTTGTTAAGTGAATCACTGCAGTTGTTCAATGAATCACACGGTTGTTAAGTGAATGATGGCTTCCCCATTGACTTTGCTTGTCAGAAGATCACAAAAGTGGATTGCATGAACACTCCTGTTAGGGCTCCAGCAGTTTCCCCCATTTAAATCATGAGTCTGGAGCCAAACTTCCAAAACTTAAAGAAGATTTATTAGGAGTAAACATGTCCGGCACTGCCTGAGTGCAGCTGACTCTGAGACACATCATTTATTGTCACCCTTGACCCTGGTTTTCCCCCCCACCCCCTGGGTGTATCATAATTCATATTCTCCAATGGGACACCTCCACAGCCAAGAGTCATCAATCATGTTCTCCAGTTAGAATTTTGCGCGGCAAAAACTTCGGTCACCTAGTTACTATCTTTGAAAACATTTACGGAATGCGCTTTCTATTTCCAAGCTGCCGCACTGCTCCCCCCCTCCCTTTCTGTTGGCAACTCTAAAAAGACCATAGAAATATTTTATGAGTTGACACTGCACCTTGTCACAAAGGTGGCAGCCCAGAAGCCTCAAAGAGTCTGAATATAAATCACCTGACCGTGGGGATGCTGCAATGGTCATAAGTGTGAAAAATGGTCGTAAGTGTGAAAAACGGTCATAAGTCCCATTTTTCTGGGCCGTTGGAACTTCAGTGAATTGTAAGTTGAGGACTACCTGCAGTAACAACATTGGGCTCTTATTGTCAAGGAGGGACAGATATAGGTAGTCCTTGACTTACTATCACAATTGGGCCCAGAATTTATGTTTGCTAAGCAAGACAGTCGCTTAACAAACTGTTGTAACTCAAGGACTGCCTGTAGTTCACTGAACATGTTACTAGCTGCAGTGATCCGCTTAAGGTTGTGGTTTTATGACTACGACGGAGCCCGAAATTTCCAATGAGTTTTGACTCGTTCTGTGACCATTCTTGCCCCTGCTGTTAAGTGAAACACTGCCATTGCTAAGCGCCTCCAGTCTCACGAGGCTCTTCTAAGCTTGTATCCCAAGCGCCCCAGCTGATCTGCAAAACACAACAGCGAATTGTATCATCCCGGGTGACTAAGGCTCTATCGCAAACAGGATAAATCTACAACACGAAAAAAATTGCCAAATTCCTGTCCAGGCTAACACGCAAACTTGCTTCATTTCCATTTCCTTTTGCTGAACTCTTCCAACCGTTTCCTTCTCCTCCCCCCGACTTCCTCTTCTCTTCTAGGCGGGGTTGCTCAGAGCTTGTCGGAAAGGGCCGTTTTCCCGTTTCTGACACCTGGGTGTGAATCAGATCCACGACGGGATTATGATCATAATAAAGATTGGGTTGATAACTCGGGGAGAGCAGTAAAAGGGGAGGGAAATTTAATCCGCCCGTTCTCTACAGGCGGTCCTTTACTTACAACCGTTCGTTTAGTGACTGTTTGAAAGGAGAACAGCGCTGAACAAAATGACTTGGGACTGATTTTCTTATTTTTCCTTATTGTTTTAGAGTCAGAAGGGACCTTGAAGGCCTTCTAGTCCAACCCCATTCTGAAGCAGGAAACCCTATACCCATGATGGTGAACTTATGGCACGCGTGCCACAGGTGGCACACAGAGCCATTTGTGTGAGCACGCAAACCCCAGCCAAACTTACCCACACTGTGCATGCGCGCAGCTGATTTTTGGCCCATTTGAGGCCGTTTTTGCCCTCACAGAGGCTTGAGGGAAGCCTCTGCAGCCTCAGGAGGCCGAAAAATGGGTCTTCCAGAAATACTGGAAGTTCTGAAAAGGGCCTGTTTTCAGCCTCAGGGGGCTCCAGAGGCTTTCCTCGAGCCTCCAGGAGGGCAAAAATGGACTTTCCCGGGCTCCAGAGGCCCTCTGGAGGCTGAAAATGGGCCCTTCTGGTATTTCCAGAAGGCCCCTTTTTCGGCCTTCCGAGGCTGCAGAGGCTTCCCTCTGGGAGGGTGAAAACTGCCTCAAACAGGCCAAAAATCATCTGGGAGGCATGCACATGCACAGTGAAGGTAAGGGGGCGGGGGGGTGTTGCGCGCACATGTGCAGGGGGGATGGGGCACATTGCATTGTGGGTACTGGCACAAGCGCACTTTCAGCACACTCACAACAAAAAG